GGAAAATTCTACTACCAGTCCTTCATCACCTTAGACGAAATAGGCTGAATACAACTCCTTAATTTCTTTAAAATGGCTCGCCTAGCCCCTTTCGAAATCCCAGGCCTACCACTTGTTTCCTCCATCATGTACCCCTTCGGGCCATTAAAGTCCATTCTTTCGCTTATTCTGTCCACCCCCAATGTTACACACGAACGGAATTCCCTCTTGACAGGCACTTTCGCCCGGCCGTTTCGCAAGTCAACGGGGAAATCTTCGTTCTGGGAGGAGTTGACGACGATGGATCCGATGTCGTTGAGGTCTATTCACCGAACTACGATCGCTGGAGAAGCCACAGCCGACTTCCAGACGGTCGATTTGGCAGTTGTAAGTCCATTCTAAGCAAAATGCTTCTCATTATCTCCACAGTCGGGCACAGATTCGGCCAAATATTCATTTAACAAAGCTTCACATCGCAAAATGAGCGGAAAAAGTATTTGCTGTATCGTCTTAACAACGAGACAAAATCACCACTCCTTGCTCATAAAGTTCCAAGCCGTGGCTCGATTCCCGTAAGGACGAAAAGTGATTTCGGGCAGAATCACTTATTTCTGCTAGTTACAACATGACATATCTCGCATTTGCAATGTTTTATATCGGGCATGAGCATCAGAGAAATACAAGGGATAAATACTTTATAATACAGTCAAGTTTAATAAGACACGCCAAAATAAAGTTTTTGAATATACTAGTATTGTTAGTAGTATTTCATAGAAAAAGTATTTTTAATTTTATCAGAGATTATGCTATAATAAGTTTAAGAATACCATTCGGACTCTTCGAAGCCAGTATCTATTTTGTAAAAAAAAAAGCAACATACAAAAGAACTGCATAAAAAACAACATATCAATGTGGGAAAATTGTACTACAAGTCCTTCATCATCTTAAGCGAAATAGGTTGAATATATCTCATACTACTGATTTACTGGCAGTCTCAAAACTCGACTTGCATACGAAAAAGGAAAACACTGCTTTTGCATTGCTATGCCTTCGGTATAAAAATTATACCAGTTCTTATTCGTTGTGAAGAATTGCCACATCTTGAGAAACTATTTTGTCAAGTAGGTGGCCTAGAAAATGGCTCAGAAATGTGAAACTCAATGGAAGCGTCAGCTATACTCATATAATTGTGGGGAAATTCTACTACCAGTTCTTCGTCACCTTAAACGAAATTGGGTGAATACATCTCATATTTCCCACATGAGGTTTATTCATCATACCGTGAGAAAATTCGGCTATTACGTCTTATCGCCAGGGGGCATTAGAAACTTTATTCTAAAGTTAAGGATAATCGCGAAACGTTAGTCTCTGGCACAAAATAATGAATGTGTGTTGCTCGCCCAGACTCTGATCCTCATAAGTTGTGGATATTTTCATCTTACCCCTGCAGGATTTCTGAATATACTCCATCCATCAAATAGTAC